TGCTGAGCCCTCCCGACATCCTGCCCGCCGCCTCTGCCCGAGTCTGGGTGTTTGTGCGGCCGGAGTGCAGGAGAGGGAGAGGTGGATGGCGAGACTCTGGCAATCGGCAGCGATGCGGGGGTGTGGGAGATTACAACGCGTCCACGGTCTATGCAGAGGAGCCCAAAATGTCTACAGCGGGACAAGGAGCCCTTGCTCAGTGGGGGCGCTGCGGAGGAAAGGGGAGGAAAATGCAGCGACAGGCGCGCCTGCCCAACTCCCGGCATTGCCATCGGCACCCGATCGGGCGAGACAAGGCAATTGGGAGTCTCCGCCGAGTTGCCAGCGTACAGCTGAAGTAACCCATGGCTCGGCAATCGGGTGCCCCAGGGGGCAAGGTACCCCGCAAAGGTGTGCGCCGTCGATTGCGGAGCTGCACAGCACCGGCGGCGCGTCCCGGCGGCACGCGGGTGCAGCAGCACCTCCCACAGTCAAATTTCGGCAGCTGTGGGGTGATAAGCACAGCCTCTCCGAGCCAGCTTGCTAGATTGGTTACCAGTCAGCACATGGCAGGCGGCAGGAGAAGGGCGGCCCCGTGCTGGGGAGGCCCCGGGCGGCGCAACCGCTGCCGCCGCCCAGCCGCCGTCCCCGCTTCGACGGCTGCCGCCTGCCTGCGCCTTGCCCCACCCGCAGACTTCCCTCCCCGCTGGGTGGCCAAAGCCCTGAAGACGCTTTTCGCATGCGCCCACTACGCCGCCGCGGCAGCCGCCGGCTATGCCGCCTATGTGGCAGCGGTGAGCTCGGCGGCTGCTCACGTGTGTGTGTGCTGGGCGCTGGGTGCTGGGTGCTGGGCTGGCCTCGCTCCGTTGGGGGCGGCGAACAGCAGGCAGGTGCCGGCTGGCGCGGCCCCGCCCAGCGCGATGCTTCACTCCCCCGCCCGCCCCCTCCCACCACCACCTTCCCCATGCCCACAGGCCCGCCTGCGCGGCCTCCACTCTGCCGGCCAGCTGCTGCCGCCGCTGGTGGCGGCGTTTGAGGCGCGGCACACACTAGCCGGGGGCCACCTGGCGGCGGCGGCCGCGGCGGCGGCGGCGCTCTGGGCCCTGGCCGCGCTGCTGTGGCGGCGGCGCGCCAAGCAGCCCATCTACCTTCTGGATTTCGAGTGCTACCGGCCAGGTGGGGAGCGGGGTGGGGCTGCTTTGCTGGCGATTCGAGGACTGCCAGCCTGCCGGTGGTGCGCTGCTGTGCTGCGCTGGCGGTGGGGCCAGGGTGGCCAGGCTTGGGCGCCGCCCAGCCCAGCCCAGCCCGCTTTGGGGCCGCCGTGCCGCTGCGCTGCTCTGCTTGTTGGGTGTTGCCAGTCCGCATGCCCGCACAGCAATCTGCGGCACGCGCGCATGCCTCGCAGCTGCTTCCAGCCGCGGCTGTTGCCAGCCGCTGCTACGTCCCCGGGGCTGGCTGCCACTCTGTTCATGCATCGCCGCCAGCACTTCCCTGACCCCGCTGCTAACAGGTTCTATCTGCCTCCCTGCCCTCTCCTGGCGCCGCTGCCTCGCCCTCCCCCGCCCCTTCCCGCCCTGCAGAGCAAGAGTGCATGGTGTCATACAACAAGTTCGTGACGGGCAGCCGCAACGCAGGGGTGGGTGTGCGCGGCGGGTGTGCGGCGGATCTGGTGTGCATTGCTTCCGCTGCCCGCTGCCTGCCCGCTCCCTCCCTCCCAGCCCTGCCTCCTCTCTCGCCCTCCCTCCCTGCCCTCTCCCTGCCCCGCCTCCTCTCTCGCCTCCGTCCTGACCGCCCTCCTTCCTGTCCCCGCTTTCTTTTCCCGCTTTCCTCCCCCGCAGTTCTTCGACGACGCCGCCATGGACTTCCAGACCCGCATCCTGCACAAGTCGGGACTCAGCGAGGAGACCTTCTTCCCGCCCGGTGAGCCGCGCTTTCCTCCCCTCCCGTCCTCCCTGCCTCCCCGCCTTGGTTGTTGCGGCAGCGCTGGTGGTGGCCTGGTGGTGTCTGATCGCCTGTCCGCTGGCTGCGGTGGCGGCGCCCGGCTGCGGCGTGCCGGTACTGTTGAGATACCGACGATGTACTGCTTCTGCGCCGCTGCGGTACCGTACAGGCCTCCACCTGGAGCCGCCGGAGTTTGACATGAACCGCGCCCGGCAGGTGTGTGGACCTGTGTGTGTGTGTGTGCGCGCTTGCTGTGCTTGCTGTGCGTGCCTGCCTGGGCGCACCCTGCCGGCAGCCGTGTCGGCAGCGTGGCGCCGTCTGCTTGAATCGGTGCCCCACAGGCAGCCGAGGTCGGCCCCGCCTGCCTGCGCGCCGCTGCTCCGCTGGCACTCATGGCACTGTGCCGCTGCGCTGATGTACCGCACTGTACCATAATGTACCGCACACAGGAGGCGGAGATTGTGATGTTCAACTCGGTGGCGGATGTGCTGCGCAAGACGGGCCTCACTCCCCGCCAGATCGACGTGCTGGGTGAGCGGGGGGGGCGGGGGGGGGAGGGTGCGGGGCG